ACATAATTAAAAAATAAAAGTAAATTACTTTCCCTCAAAATCTCATGCCTTATTTTTAAGCTGGCCTTAAATACTGTTTAGTGGTAAGGAAATGAAATGGAAAATTCTGCAATCCTTTTTAGCATCTCTGGCAGTCTTCCAAACACAAAGCCCAAAGCCAAATATTCATTTTAACCATATTTTGTTTGGAAAAGATGCTTTAAGCAAATTAATTCAGTTTAACTCTGGAACACTTTAATAATGTGTGGCTGCTGATGTTGATTAGAATAAATATTGTGCATTTGAAACCTAATAGTCTTGTCTGCACCAACATGTAGTTACTATACACTTATAAAAGGATAGAGTGGACTGACTCCAGTACTAAGAAACTCTAATAAGTAACTGTTGGGATTCCAGAGCTATATAAAGCATTTGATTTCTATCTGTGTATGATTATTCTCCATTGTGTTTATTTGAACTTTTTTTTACTTATGAGGAATTGAATCAAAATGTATTTAGATTCACCAAAATCCATGTCCAAAAGTTTATTTTAACAAGGTAAAAGTCTCAGAGCAAAACTACCTTCTCATCCACTCTGTACAGTGGATGCAGGAGGCAGTGGAGGCAGCTCAGATCTCTCATTTTCACTATCACTTTGCAGAGTTGCTTCTGAAACAGACATGTATTTAACATACAATTAAGCACATCTAATGTCTACTATTGGAAGAATCTTTATGACATTATGAGGATCCTTAATGTAATTTTGAGCAGCATTTTAACAACAAAAGGTTTCATAAAATTCAGGAAATCATTGTTATCACTGTGCAACTCCATTTTGAAACTGTGTTGAGGTACAGCTTCTCTTTCAGTGATGACCCTGCTGGCCCACTCCTGGCCATCTGCTGCACACATATGGACACCTGGGCTGGATCCCTGCAGTCAGACATTCCCCTAAATCAGTACTCATCCACAAAGTCAAATCCTGAGTTATATAGCTTTGTCTGTGACCCTTCCCTAAGCTATTCTCAGCTCATTTGGGTATGAAATCACTGTTTTGATTTGCCATAGACATCACTCTGTGTAAATAATGCTGTAAAATATAAAATTACTCACTGAGGCCACCCTTTTTGCCCCAGACAAGGTCAAACTCTCCCCTCTACTGAATATAAACAGTAAAATGAAGACAGTAATGTGAATGCCACTTACCTCTAGCAGGTAATTAATATTCAGGTACAAAAAACATCAGAAAAGGAAGATGCCCTCCTTCCCTTTGTTCCCTTTTATTTCAATTAAATTTTCAGATATGAATATTAATAAGATATACTCCATTTACAGCAATAGATATCACAAACAGCAGGCCAGCAGTTATAACTGAACAGCTAAAACTCTCACAAATGCCCTTTTTGCTTCTCTGAAGAGCAGCGAGTACATCCTGTGAGATTTTTATGCCTGGTTAAATTCTTTCTGAGGATTGCTTTGCTAACTCTTCCAATACTCTCATTACATTGGCCAGCTGTGACCTATAGGCACTTTTGTGGAAATTATTAATTGCTATCTAGGTAAAATGAGGACAAGTTTCTTCTATTCCACAAGAACATGTAACAGGAAAGGCAAGTTAAGTAATCTGTTACAGTAGGGACAGAGTCCAGTTTTTGTTTCAATATTACATTCAAACTCTATCTATGAAGGTTCCATTTTAAGATTTTTCTAGACATTAAATTATTCATGATGTTTCAATGTTAATAATTTGAGACAGAGTATTCTGTCAGGAATTTTGTGTCTTCATGTAAATATGCTTATGAATAAAATCCAGTGCAAGTGAAAACCACTATCTGAACATGGCATGTTTTGAACATGGCAATATACTGAACATTCAGGTTTTATATTTTTTCATAACTGGTCAGCAACTCTTCGTTTCCTGCAAAAATGGACTTCCTTAAAGTCAGTCAGCTGAGGATACTGTAAAACTAGTAATGCTATCAGGACAAAGTAGGGCTCTTATCTCAAAGGGATTGATTGATTGATAGTCATTTCATGGAAACAGTTATTTTTAGAAATTGAAATTAGTTTCCATTAAAGCTACTGCTTTTAATTATAACAAAATAGATTTACTGAAATTGAACTCCTAACATGAGATTTAATAAGGTGAATATCAAAACTCATAAAGTTTGAAAAATTCCGTTTCCTTTAAAACTTTCATGATGTTCTGATTTGAATAGACTTTTCTCTTTGAAATTCAAGCTAATATTTTGACCAACAATAGCTGATATTTTTAAATGCCCAAGACTGAAAGATCATTTCAAAGATAATTTGATAAATGTATTTACATGAATTTGTTTTGCATTCTGAAATTTTTAAAAATACTTTGTCTAAAACTTGATTTTAGAAAAACATTTGAAATGTAAGGACTAATGCATACTGATCTTATGATGACTGTCTGAAGCCCTGTTTATTCAAGCAGTGTTCAGCTATTTACATTTTTGTGTAAAGTTAGAACAAAATTCCTTTCTCTACTTCTGAAAGCACTTTGTTGCACTCCTGTCTTCCTGAAGATGTGCAATGGCTTTTCAATTTCTGCTTTTTTTAAGAAAAAAAATTCCAAAATTCTTTCTGTGGATAAATGAAACACGCGGGTGATACATTTACACAGAACATGGAAAGGTGGTTCTATGCTCATCCAGGAAGTAAACAGCACTTTTGGAATTAGCTAGCCAGTGCCACGAAAGAGGCAGAGCATTAAATTCAGTCCAATTTTATTTTAAGGTTTCAGTTCTAAAACTTAATATATTAAATTTAAATTTGCATTAATAATACAGATATAAAAAAACAATAAAGAAAGCTTATAATCAAAATCAGGAACTTGTACAACTGCAGATTCTCTAGGTTGAATTTAAGATGCAGAATACCAGTGATTCACTGTGGGTTGCATCAGGTTGTCAGGGTTTCTGAGGGCTTCTTTACAGAAAGTGGGGGTGGATGCTTGTGCCCACCCACGTTTCTGTACACATACATTATTTTCTATTTCCATCTCATTATTCTATTTGCATGAAATAGTTTAACATTTTTGTAGGCTTTGGTTTTGAATTAAGAACTCATTTTTAAATTTCAGATTTTTTTTCTGGATAAAGCTGCTTAGTTTTAAATTATTTTTAAATTCTACTGCCCAAACCATGTTGTTCAGATGCAATATAAAGGTAATTTACAACTTGATTGTTATTGTTTATAACTACAGTACTTTGTTTTAAAGGGCAGGATGTCACTGTAACCATATATCTATTGCTAACAGATTTGGCAATTGTCATTGTAAACAGTAACAGAATAGTACTCTGCAAGGTGCTTGAGTGTTGTCTTGATTTAATCCCAGCCAGCAACTAAGCACCACACAGCTGCCTGCCCGCTGCCCCCCACCCCTGCCACTCAGTGGGGTAGGGGAGGAGCATTAGGAAAAAAGAAAACCTCGTGGGTTGAGATCAAGATAGTTTAGCAGAACTGCAATGGAGGAGAAGGTAATAATAGCAGTAACGGTAAAAGAATTTACAAAATGAGTGATGCAATGCAATTGCTCTCACCAGCCCATCCCAACCAACAACTGCAGATTCCTGTACCCCAGCCAATCCCTATCTTAATATACTTAGCATGATATCTATAGTATAGAATATTCCTTTGGTCAGCCTGTCCTGCCTTTGCTCCTTCTCAGCTTCCATGAGAAGCTGAAAAAGTCCTTGACTTAATATCCTAGCAACAACTAAACCAACATTATTCTCATACAAAATCCAAAACACAGCAGCTACTCAGAAAATTAACCCAGCTGACACCAGAACAAGTGTTCAACTGGAAAGTTTATCATAAGATCTAAGAAAAACATTTTAGTTCTTGGTTGCCTAATATGTGAAGTGATTTGTTAGCTACTAGAAGAAAATAAACAAGTTATGTATGTCTTTAGTTGAAGGAAATGTGTTAATAGGCATTTTGCTAACACAGACACAACAACAGAAATTTTAAACCAGATATTTATAAAAGAAAAAGATCAGAAAATAAAAATAAAAAGAAATCACCTCCTCTCATTATGTACATGTATTTTTTATCATGAACTGAACAAGGTGTCAAAAGCCTGAGGACAAATTAAACATAGGTGTATGGTATACCCAGATGAGTCGGTATAGACAGTACTTCAGGAGTTTATGAATATTTCTGTCTAATACAGGCCAAAAAAAAAAGCTTACATGAAAAATGCTTATTTGATTTTTTTGTAATTCACTCATGAGGCCACATGGAACAATAAAGTTTGCCGCCCAATTCAGTGATAACAAGTTTTAGCCAAGGTAAATCAAAATGAGTGTGCAAAGTGTTTTTGTACCATTACAGGTGTCAAGGTGCATACAGAAAAAGAAGATGCCATTGATTCACTTTTCTTGAATTTCCAAAAGTTATCCGATGAGCAAGTTCTTAATGATTTTAAGGTGCTGTGAAGCAGTGTCAATTTTTTCACGTGGAAGAAAAATAGTACTTGGAAGTTAAATACTTAAATAATTTTCAGTAGTCATTGTGAAGGAAGTGACTACAAGTTTCCATGGAGAGAGCCTATATTGGATGCATGTTCCAAAAATAACTTGGAATAAAGGTGTGAATAGTAGCAAGAAGTTTTTTGATGATACTATGAATGTAAAGGCAATGGCCAATTATGAAGTGCTGCGTAACATCATGCTACAGAATATAAAATTCAGATTCAGTAGATGTGAAGCACATAGCTGGTTGTAGAATCTTCTTTTGCTTTCTTTAAGAATATTTTTTTATTTTTTGTTGCATGTGAAAGTAATTTGAAAGATTGCTGCCGATTTAAATCTGTCATTGACACATAGTGTTTAAGATCTTCAATTGCCTGAATGGGACTTTTTAATCAAAAAATGTAAACAAACCAACTGATCAAGAAAATGGCAGATAAAATTTAATATTGATTAATGCCTAGTGAGAAAAAGCTATTTTAACTTTACATATACAATGAAGAGTAATTTTTTACTTACCATTCACCAGTTAATTATAATACAGCTGCAAAAATATTCACTAAATGCTGAGGCCAAACAATCATGAGTCAAATCCTAGAAAACAAAGAGAGAACAAGATAGGGATTATTATTGTTATTATGCTCTGGTGCCAGGCTGCAAATACTGTACCCGGTTGTGTTTCTTGGTCTCTTACCCTCTCCTCCAAAATCTCAGATAAACTTAGGAGAACTAGTACTTAAGGACAAGCATAAATATGCCTCTCTTTCTGTCAGAGGCCCAATGTTCTGCAGCTCTCATGGTGTAAGGAGAATGTTACTTGAAGGGGTAGAAGGGGTTAAAAGATAAGAGTAGATAGTCTATATTCATAGTGGATGGAGTTGACCATGACATTTCACAGGGATCTGCAGAAAAATTTTGAGAGACAATTTCTGGAGAAAATTTCAGGAATTGCATAAAACTTTTTAAATAGAACAATTCAGTTTTCTGAGCCTTGTCCTATTCATTATAAAAATGAATAGAGTAAAGAGTACAATAAACAATTGTGAAACTTCTGTTTTCTAGAGGAAGCTACAGATACTGTTTGATTAAATTATGTAGAAAAAAAATTACGAGAAACAGATTTTCAACAGGCTGTTTTAAATGTCTCTTCACAGCACTGATCTAGAATCTGAGCCAAGCCATAGGTTAAATCTTCTCAGAGTGTAGTTACAGTTTACAATGTCTTTGGCTGCAAAATTTAGTTTAAGAAGTTTTCACTCCCTTACATCTTCTTTTCCTACTTCCCTGTCTGCTTCCTGACCTATCATTACTTTTATTTTTTTTTAAACTAAGACTTCATACAAGTTGAGGATATTACATATATCTATAAAATACTTATTTGCTAGAGACATGGTTAAAAGTCACACTCTACCACATAAAAATAGCCAAGTATTGTGAGAGAAATGTAGGAGATAAGAATGATCCAATACATAGCTTTACAGATACAATACAGTGGTACAAATCAATACACGGTTTACAGATAGCTACTAGCTATTTGTAAGCCAATTGTGAAGTACTTATATTTGTAATAAAGAAAACCAAAAACACCAGTTGGATTTGATTTTAATTTCTGTCCTAATGTAGATAAATTGAGAAGTAGGGGGGATGGTTTGCTTGTTTGAATAGTTCTTCCCAGTTCCTAATCCTGCAGAGCAGTAAAGACTCATCACTTCTGTTTCTTCAGGCATCAAACCTTGTGCGTCCAATCAAGTCCATAATACAGAAGAATCCATTCATAATGGTGCTACAGGGATTTGAGTTCAGTCATCATGAAGCAGCTTGTGGGATCATAACTTCATGGGTAAATATTACTTTGAAATCTTGAGAAGTCCTATGTTAATCAAGCACAAACTGCCATTATTACTCTTTTCTATAAATGATCTCTCTGTTGCTGAGTTCTTGTTGTCTGTGCTGTTAATGAGATACCGTAAGCAGGAGTAAGGGTAGCCAGACCGTACTACTGATTGCAGTAAATGCTAACGGACTACAAGGCAAGCAGGTTAAACCTGTTAAGGCTTTATGGTAATACAAACACAAAAATCAGGTAGGTTCAGAGTCCTAATGGCAAGACATTTTGGAAGCAAAGGACAATTAAATGGGGAATTACAAAGTACAAAGGTTGGTGATGCATCCTACTTGGTGAAACACCAGTAATGAGAGCAGGGTTTTATCAGATGATGCAGCCGTCATCTCAGTGACTGAATGCAGTGAGAAAAGGGTCTGACTTACAGGCTTGTAGAGAAAGATAGCAAGCATAGGCAGTGTGTGAAGCTATTTAGAAAAGTGAAAAGTGTGTAGTAGGTGTAAAGAGTGGCTTATTTTAGGAACAGAGAAGGTGAGAAAATTCATTTAGCAATTCCTTAGAAGAATCTTGTGCTGTCAAGCAATAAAAAATGATAAACACTTTATAGAGTTTTTAATTTATAAAAATGTTTGTGTGCAGTGCTCCAGGCACACTTATAAACCTCTTCTTTAGCACATATAAAAATATAGGTTGACCCCACGTCAACATCTACCTGTCTACTAGAAATGGGAGAAGTGATCAGTGCTTCAGACTCACGTACTGCAGCATTTGTTTTCATGGGCTTGCCCATTAAAAATCCATGTATAATGTAACTTTCATGCATGTTGTACTTCCCTGATATGTAGACACTCTTAATGTAAAACTTCAGTTTGAATCATTTCTAATTCTAAGAATACCCTCAAATAGTCTTATTTTTTCATATAATTATAAATATTAAATACTAAATGAAGTTATGGAAAATCAGTCACAGGAGAGTGTTAACGTCTCTTTTTTTTCTCAAAACAAGTCCTCGTGTAAAAAAATAACAATAATCATAGCTCTAACTGGAGTGTCATAAGTTTTCTGGCTCCAGTTTAGGTAGATTTTAATGAAAAATGATATACCAAGAGCAATTTTTCTTCTATAATGAGGGAACTTTCAATTTCCATTGATCTCAGCTGTAGATGTATCACATAAGAATCTTGTAAGTAACGAGATTTAAAGCATTAAGCTTAAGTCGACATTTTCTCTCTTAAATTTAGCTGTAACTTGTCATCCTATTTATATACTTCACAAAGCACTAGGCAGCTTTTCATGAAACTATTCCCAGTAGGAGATCATAGAAAACTCCATCTTCCAAACACTCTGTCTTACTCAAATCACAAAAAATGCAGTATTTAAAATTGATTATAGTCATATTTTCTTAAGCAACCTTCACTTGCTTTTAGTTGTGGCTAAAGTCACCTAAATTATAGTCTTTCTCAGTTCCTCATCATCTTGAGTGATCCTATTATGCCTGTTAGCTTTCCTTCAAGCCCTGGTTTCTACAAAATGTATTAAAATCTGTAATGAAATATATACCCTTTCCTGCGTGACAGTCACCAAAAAAAAAAAAAAAATTGAGCACAGGGTAAAAGATTATAGTCTGACTAATAAATATTGCAAAGATTTCTATTTTCTTGCACATATTCAGTTTTTAATGGTTAATTGAAAAGGATGATAGTCAAACTGTCCTTGCTAATCAAGAGTTAAAAGGCATGGAGTGATCTTAGGTCTATACAGAGAAAAACAGCAGTTGCAAGCAAATCCCCTATCACTCCTAGCAATGTGGAGAAATACTGAATATGCTGGAGAAGACTCAAGACAGTACTGTATATTAAAGAAACATGGAAAAACTGGAAAATTAACTTTGCACATAATCACGGCAATCACAATAGATCACTTAATAGATTTTCTAGAGATAATAAGGGAAAGGAACCCTCTGTGAAACAGTGAAAGTGAGAATCATTAGGACAAAGCAGGAAAAGGAACTATAAAATATGTGCTCATAATAATTGGGATATGTTGCTGTTATCGTCATAAAATATGTGTCCATAATAATTGGGAGCCTGCCAGTAACTGATTCTTTTATGATGCAAAACCCATAGTGTCTGATACATTAAAAAAAATGCACAAATGTAAAGGAGAAGTCTCTAAGAGCTCCAAAACAACAGCTAGCATCACACAGAAAGAGAAGACATAGATTGGATTAATTCCCCGGTATTTAGAGAGAGAAAAGGAGAGGTCTACAGCTGTGTAAGGACACAAAGACAGTATTTGTAAAAAGAAAAAAAAAAAAGCTTTCATTTTTCAAGAGGAATTGAAACGCTGCTAGCTTTTTCAGCAGGTTAGGTGGTTTCTCCAGGTGTTGGTAGGTCTCTCTAAGTGAAAAGACCACTTCCACATTGCTTTTTGCCCATTATTTCTTCCCAGCTGCCTTTTATAATGTGATGTGCTTGAAATGCGCATCACCTGGGATGGCACACCAGGACTGGTGTGATGTGGGCCTTATTTGAATAGAGTACTGCTGGTCTTGAACATCAGTTAAAATGGAGGAATTAAATGGAGAATTAATAACCTTAGACTGAATTAGGCAAAATTTCAATTTTAGCATTTTATTTTGGAAATCCATTAACATCAAAGATGTTAATGTACTGAAATCTAAATATAAGAACAGAGTTCAAAGCTGTTCGAAATACTGAACTATGTCAGCAGGTTCTGTTAGTGTTGTAATAAAACATGAATTCGCCTAAAACATTTCCAGACAGTTACCCTTGTGACAAAGCCAAAGAATGAAATTCAATGTTTTAAAACATATTCCTGTTGATTACATCACTAATATTTTTTTAAACCATTAACTCCTACGTATCCTACAAATGTAACTAGAAGCAGCTGAAAAAAGAGTATTACAGGACATACTGTTTGCCATTTTTGTACATAAAGAATTATTCTAACTACAGAGAAAATTATGCGAAATCAGGATAAAAAAACCTTGAGCATATAAGTGAGCAAGATTTCATAATTCCATTTAGAAGCAGAACCTGATCACATGTTGTCTTCTAATATTGGATAAACAGATGCTAACATTGATCATAAAAAGTGTTCTGTGTCTTGTTTGCTGAAAGGACATTTCCACTACAATAGCTGGGGAAGATTTCTGAATTGCCTTTAGAGATTGGTCAAAATATGTTACGCCTTTACTAAAGCAATCTGTAGTTACTGAAACAGGTATTCAGATTATTCATAGTTTGTTTCTATATTGTTTTCATTAGGAAGCCTGAAAGAGATCTTAAAAGCCTTGTAGAGAAAGAAGTAATTTAAAAGCAAAACTTCCATGAGGTATGGTGATTACAAGGTAATGCTAACGTCTTTACAATTCGTTATTGTAACTTTTCATTACCTTATTGAGGACTCAACATTGAAATCGGGCTTCCTTTAAAAAAAGATAATTCTATTTTTACAGAGCTATGCAATCTGCAAAACCACTATTGATAGTTGTGAACAAAAGGTTCATTACTACTGTAATATTACATTAGGTTATTGGTTTGTTACATCTGGTTAATGCTATAGTGTATCCACAGGCTCCTGAGACATTGTGGATTTCAGAAGTAACATGAGAAACTATTTTTACTTCCTTTATTCCCTCCCTCCCTATTCATAAAGGCTAGAACTTTTAATTCTCATTAAGCTTAAAACAAAAAAAGTCTAATTTGATTATGTGAGTTTAGGACCTGGGGTTTTATGACTCTGGCTATATGCTCTTTCTCTGCCTCTGACCATTGAATAAAATGTGTGCTGAAGTACAGAAATTTAATCTCTGTCATGTCAGATGCTAACCTTAGTTGGCTAGCTGATATGCAGAGAGCCAGAATCTGCCTATAATAGCACCCAGGAGTTAGTGAATTAATCTAACCTGATGAAGTGTGTCTCCTCAGTGCATAAATCAGCTGGAATAATGTCATTGATATGAAAGGAGGATGTGGAGAAAAAGAAGTTTAAAATGAGCCACAGCTGAGAGAAACCTGCTAATGGATTGGGCCTTAACGTTAAGTAACTCTGAGCAGCCAGTGGAGTCAATTTTGACTGTTTGATTTCCTCAAGGTTCTGTGGTATGTATTTTTTATTTTAAAAAAATAGTTAAGTAATCTATAATGCAGTATAAGTGAACCATGATTGTTTTCATCTTTATGTGTAACGTCCATGTTTGTATTTGCAATACCTTTTTAACATTTCAGTATTTTGAATCACACCAATCCTGACTTCAATATACTTTAGTCTATTTTGACATTGTCATAGAAGAATTGAAGACTGCAAACTATCATTAACAAAATAAGGGCTAAACATTTTGGCAAATAAACAAATTACGTGCAATTTATATAGCAAATAATTCTCAGGAATTTTCACAAGCCTGGCTAATTCCGAACCCTAATACTCCTCCTATAGAAAGGTTAGAAAATTCAATACACCTGTGTTACTTCGAGTGCGCATAACAAAGGAGGAACTGCAGAAACCACGAGTAGGTTCTGTATCATGTTTGATGCTTTAAATAGTTAATCCGTTCCAGCAAATTTACTGTACTACTGAAGCTGGATAATTTGGATACTTTTTTAATTCAGGCCATCATTAGGTGTTTATTAGTATACAGTCATTATTGCTAACTATTACTTTAAGAACGAATGACCACACAGGATATGAAGTAATTTAATAATTGTAAAATTTTAGGTGATTTTATTCCCCACAGACAAAAATTAGTATTTTCTCTGTGGCTCACAACAGGTTTAATGGATACAAAGACAAGACAGTGTGCAATAAAGTGTGAAGCAAAACATTAACTGCAAATAAATAGAGGAATTTCTCGTCGGTTATTATAGTTTCAAGCTTTTAAATGGCATAGCATCCTAAATTTATATTATAATAACAGTTAAGTGTGCAAGGTTCTCCAGTGCTCACCTAAAGATTAAGTGATGTTAGAAACACATATTCTCACAGCAACTGTTTGTGCAGCAAAAGCAGTATGTTAAAAAAATACATAGGAGATAATTCTTTTTATGTAGTGAGTGACAAAACAGAATTAAAACCTTTGGTCCTGGGTTTTCCTTCAGCTTCAACAGGTAAAAGCTTCTCCTTATGGTGCAAGGATCTGCAAGTGCTAAACTGCTGAAAACATGAGCTCATTGGGAACTACTGATTGAAAAATAAGGTTATGGTTTAAAAAAAAAAAATTTAAAAAGGTGAATTTACCCAAATAAAACTGTTTACCGGGGCATCAGGAAAACAAAAACGTGGTGGGCTGACTTTGGGCAGCTGACGGACTGCTCTCAGTCTCCCTCCTCAACAGGACAGTAGGAGAAAATGGAATATCAAAAGCTTATGGATGGAGATAAAGACAGGGAGATTACTTACCATCACAGGCAAAACAGATCCCGTGGTCTACAGGGAAATATCTGCTTCCCCATGCTCTCTCCACAGGCTGCCGGGCAGTCTCTGCTGCGGGCCTGGCGCCCTCCTCCGCCTCCTCCTTCCCCGGCCGCGCTGTGCCCAGGGCCGTTCCTCACACTTTTCCCCTCACTCCGGCAGTTTTTCCCTTCCTCGGACACCCCCCCCCCCCCCCCCTCACACGCTGCCAACACCCAGACACCTGCAGCCGGTACAGAAAATTTGTGGAAAAAATTAAAGTAAGTTTAAATTTCTTCTATTACGCTGGTTCCTAGACTAACACCTGTTATGCTCAATCTGTTTCAAGAAGTTAAGTCTGTCTGAAATACTCAAACCACTGGCAATTTTTCCTGTAAAGCATTAGTAAAAGCTAAGGAGACCATCAGGAACAAAAATTCACAGGGACTTAAAGATGTGAACAAATATGACACCATTATATTTGTTTAAAATGCAAGATGAAGGGGAAAGTGTTCGATGTTGGTAGATCCTGAGGAGCTTTCCCCCATCTCTTCATCTTTGGTAGTAGAGGTACGGATTCTCCTAAGTCTAAGAAGTAGTAAAACAAGTTGCAGGTTATCACGCTTCATCGCTTTTTCTTTAATTTCCATATAAAGATTATTAATTTCAAACTCTTTCAGATACATGGCATTCACTGTGCAGGGTGGTAGAAAGTCAAACCATCTCAAGAAGCTGTTTCTTACATACTGCGGAACTTTACTCTTTTTTTTTTTTTTTTTTTCCCTTCCCCAGTAGGTTTGCAGTAAAATCAGCCAAATGACATTAGCTATGCTTTAAATTCCAATTTCCACACTTCTTTCGTTCTGTATCACTCCTTTTTTCATCTCACCACCTAACTTCCTTAGATTGTAAGTGTAACGAATCTCAAACTCCGGTGAATAAAGGAAAATAGAAAAAGAGGAAACTATCATGAGCCTATGAATTTGTGCTTCCTAGGTTCAGAAAGTTTCCTGGGATTTGATGATATCCAGCCATTTTTATAGTTATTAGCTGCTATTGGTACTCTATGCAGTCTTTCTCACTGCCCTTAAAAAAATATAAACTGATAGCAAGTACAGGTTGTGCTTCCTCAAAAGGATGTGTAAAACTGTTGCCACCATCAGGGTACAAAGCACTTTCCTCCCAACAGAACTTGAATCAGATTCTACCATTTGTATTTCTGTATAAATCTAGCCAAAACTCTTGGCATAAATCTTAAGAACATTGTTTAGTGTCTGTATTCACTTAGTAGTGAAGTTACTAAGGATGTCCTCAAAACTCATGTGTATTCTGAGGGAATGATCATGGCAACCCAGGAAAGATGGGGTCTGGCATTTGCACAGCACACAAAAATACCCCTTATTTTTTTAAAAAATAGGAGAATTTTGTAGACACTTTTTACTTAAAGTTGTATGACACCAAACATTGTCTGATTGCAGTGAGAACATAGTATGATTGATTGTGATTGTTCTTGTTTTCACATGTAGATACAATTTTACAAGCCATGAAGATTTAACTTGCTTAGACTGCAAAAGTGTTTTATGTCTGAAGTAAACGTTAATTAGGTGCGCAAATAGACAAACGCTATAATACCAGTATAAATGTTTGTTCAAAATTAGAACAAAAGTACTTGTCTACTTTCAAAAGCAGGCTGATGCACTGCTGTCTCCCCCAAAACATTTATGCAATGGCTTTTTGGTTTTCACTGTCTTTTTAAGAAAACAAATTTTGAAGTTTTGTCTGCAGATAGCTGGAATATATAGGTGACACATTTACACAGAATATCTGGAACGTGTTTTCAAAACTGACTATCACCAATATTATGATGCCAGAGAAAACCCAGTACCATAATGTGGAGGCCAAGGTCTGCTGTACTCAGGCTAAGACTGCACCAGCACTAGACCAAGGGGATGGGACAGCCCAGGTTGTTGTGAGACATCCACTACCAGGTCATTGCTACAGTGATGGAGCAATCTATTTTTTAGATATTATGTCCCGTATGCTGTCTTCTGTCCATGTTTTTTCATCTGCATAAACTTTCTGTTTTTGATGATATTTATTCTGGCCTTTGAAGTGCCCATCTTATTGGGGTTTTTTTCTATCTGAAAAAAAAGTTAATATAGTGAAAATCCTACCATCTGCCTCCAACTCTTAGGTTTTCACAGGATACAGTATTCACCCAAATTCTACAGACTTGCTTTCATTTTCATGGAATATTTTCTCCCAGGTATTGTATTTTAAAGATGGAAGTTACATTTTTTCATATCTATATTCATGTACTTTAACCTTAAAGCATCTTTCTGTCTTCATCTTAAAATGATAAAACCTTCCCTCCAAAAATGTAGCCTCTCAGTTTCACTATAATGTTTTTCTACAATTTTATGTAAAAGAATGACTGTTTGTGGCCAAGGTAGCCAAATAGTATAGTTTTCTTCCCTATGAGTCCTTTATATACTCTCAAATTTTATAGTCAGTGAACATTAGTCTGGACTCTTCTTGCAATTACACCATTGTAAATATTTCATCACTCATTTTAATGCTGGATTGTTTGTAGATTACCATGTGGGGTTATCTGTATTTTGCAGCACTTGATATCAAGTGCTAGTGAAAAAAATTATAAAGTCATGACAGATATGTTACAAAAGTTCACTGGCAATATTTATGGAGAATTAAAGCTTCATAATGAATGAAAATAGCAGAAACTCTGTTTTTACTGTAAATAGTCTGGTATGAAGTTTAGTCTATATTTAACTGCGATGCCATTCGTGTACACTGAGTTTCATTGCGTAAACTGAGCATTTCTGATAAGAACATTTGTTCTCTCACACCTTATAAATACAGTTTGTTGTTTTTTTGTTTCTCTGGGAATAACCGGAATCAACAGCACTAGAAGTGGTTTTACACATCATATTTTGCTGTCCTCTTTGTTTCCCGCTATCTGCGTGCTTACTTTTTAAATTAAGGTAGCATAAAATTAATTTGCAATCTTTTTTGGACCAGAAGAACCTCATAAAAATGATCTTGCTTTGCTTCATTACAACACCTGCTTGCAGTAAGATGGGATCTTATCTATTTCTGTAATAAAATGCCATGGTAGAGCTGTGCTCTTAATTATCCTGCTAAATAATGGGACACATTTAAGGCCTTTCCACTCCATCTCCCAGTGCTCATTAGTGCCATTTATGAGTTATTTGTCTGCCAGTTTTTGCTTTTCCCCCCCAAAAAATAGTGTTAAATGCATATTCTGATATAAAATGAATGCATAATTAATAGTCCCTCCTGTTTCAGAATTTACTCTTTAATAACAGAAGCAATGCCAAGTGTTTTACTGAAAGCCAATACACTGATAAGTAATCTAGGTATCAATATCTCATGTATCTTATTGTTGGGGAAAAAGAAGTGTCTCGATACAGCAGATTTAATGGGTTAAGCAGTAACAGTTAGATAATGGGTTTATAACTCTTCTTGTTCACTTGGCATGTAGAACTAATGAAGTATTTTTCGGTTATGATAGATATACATGTACATTGTCTATCAGATAGCTAATATGGAATGAATACCTTATGAAAATGTAGGATGAGCTGAATATTGTAGCTATTAGAAAGTCTGAATTCTTAAACTTGTAATTGTTAGTGGGTAACAGGGAGTCAAAACCACTAAATATTTTGCCAATAAATATTTTTTTATATTGCAGAAACTTATTTAACATCTAAAACAGTTCTTGGGAAGTGTTTACAGTGTTAAATATAAGTTGGGAGTGATTGATTAACAATTTATTGATAGAACATTAATACAAATAAAAAGTTTTTAAACTGACAATAAAGTTTACATCACTGAGCATTAATAATTAGGAGATCAAAAAATAAAAATACATGCCAATTTACTTAGCACACTTGAATTGTCTGATACTAAATGACATGGAGAAATTATTAAATGGAATTCTGTTAAATAAAATATCTCATTTCCTTTGGTATATGCTTCCAGTATTAAGACTTGCTTTAGAATAAAACCTGCTTTTTGTGGATTGTTTAAGCAAGTGGTTTCGATTGTCTGGTTGTGAGTACTTCATTAGGGCAGGAACAGATTTAGAGCATTTTTTCTTCTCAGAAAGCATGAAGTATATAATTGACCTAGAAATGGCTTTGACTTATTCCCAGGTATGTGAGTTGTCATAGTGGTCCATTGGGCAAATAGAACCGGATTTTCCTCTGGTCAGGAGGCAATTTTTGTTCAGAACACAAAAAACACGTCTCGGTGAAGAGCATAACCAGTTCCTACAGCAGGTGGTACCAATTGGATCATAACAGAAATTGGGAATGCAAACCCCTTGGAAGCTGATGAGCATCCATCTATGGAAAAACCCCGCAAGCCCAGGTGCACATGAGTTTGTGTTGACTGTGAAGAGGCTACACAAAGTTGAAAATGATCTTTCAAAAAAGATTAAATGTGTTGTAAACCTTAATCCCAGTATGAATGATCCTGTACCTCATTTGGTCAAAATTTTGGAGAATATTGATAAAGCTGATAAACATCCATCTGAAACCATAAGATCCATTCTTGCTGTTGCCCTGTGACATGAGTTTGCTTTTCTTGGGGTAAAATTTTAGAGGATTACAAGCTCTTGATTCCATAGTCTTCAGTGGGGGAAGAAGGACGAAAAAAGTGAAAGAGGCTTCCCTCATTTATTTAAATCCAGAGGATGGCAATCCTGGGTTATTGTCAACAGCGACAGGCCAAGGAAAGCAGAAAAAACACAAGTATGTCCTTCTGGCTTAGCATAAATGGGAATCTTAAGCTAATGGCATTACACGATAGTAATGGTTGCTGGCTGTTGCTGGCTAGTGCATTACCATTTGTCCTGTATCAGAAAGGGCCAGTTACCGTGAGGGGCAATCAGCCCCTTCATATAGCACATTTAGTAAGCAATAACGGACTTGCCGTGGGAGATGTGACTAACCTGTGGTCTTGTTAGGGACACAAAATCGGACAATGCAGTTCCTAAAAGAAAGGCTGATGAATTATGTTTAAATAGGTGTCAAGCTCTTGGCTACTTACTTCCTTGCTGTAGTTCAAGACAAAAGAGCAGCAACATTTCCACTGA